GCACATCGTAAATATAGTACACTGTATATTAAATAGAATAAGAGGAGGAGGAATAAAGGTGATGCTCGATGACCATTGTGCTCCACCAGATCCTGGCTAACCAACCGTAAATGTTTAACGTCTAATTGACAAATTCGATTTCACATTTACAATAGACACATTGCCAATCACACTTCTCTATGCGTCTAGTTTTCATCCTAGTTATTCAGGAATTTCATTTGAATTTACATTAAATAAATGACTCACATTATTGACTTTTCGTTTCAAAAATTGATTTATCTAGAAATAATGATTAAGAGAAAAATTATATGTCAGTATAACTAATTACTAGCAACCTTGCAGTCACTATATGACTGCCGGGACTTGTGAACTATAAATAAATAAAATTTTGCTTTATTAAATAATGATTTTTGTTAAATTGCACTGTGTTTTTTTAACTATCGATGTTTTTGAAGATATAAGCTCATCCCGATGCTACATTCATCAAGAGCTTTCATTTAAATACCCACATGCGTTTTTGATATATTTTTCATATATACATATATATAATCTATATAAATATATGAAAAATTGATGAGGGTACTTAAATGAAAGCTCTTGATGAGTGTAACATGGTGATGAGCTTATATCTTTAAAAATGTCAATAGTTCACAAGATACAAGGTCATTTCTTAATTACGATAAATTGCACTGTACTTTCTTAATTATTGACATTTTTAAAGGAATAAGCTCATCCCGGTGTTACACTCATCAAGAGCTTTCATTTGAATACCCACATGCATTTTTAATATATTTTACATATATAGATATATATAATATATATAAATATATGAAAAATTGATGAGGGTACGTGCAGGTGCAACGGGAGTGTGTTTAATTGACGCAGTATTAACTGGTACTTGCTGGACTGAGGGAATTGGGACACTAGGCACTGGTGCTCCGACTCCAACTCCAACTCCCACTGGCACTCCCGGCACAGATCCACCTGATATCCGTCGATGTAATTTCTGGTTCTGATCTTCGAGATACCCATTGTAAGCCAAACTTTGAGCATGTGCCACATTTATCGGTTGAGGCTGAGGCTGAAGCTGAGCTGGCTTCAGATACTGAGGTTGAAGATTGCCGTAATTATTAAGTTGAGGCTTAATTATTGACATTTTTAAAGGAATAAGCTCATCCCGGTGTTACACTCATCAAGAGCTTTCATTTGAATACCCACATGCATTTTTAATATATTTTACATATATAGATATATATAATATATATAAATATATGAAAAATTGATGAGGGTACTTAAATGAAAGCTCTTGATGAGTGTAACATCGTGATGAGCTTATATCTTTAAAAATGTCAATATTTCACAAGATACAACTTCATTTCTTAGTTATGTTAAATTGCACTGTACTTTGTTAACTATCGAAGTTTTTAAAGATATAAGCTCATCCCGATGTTACACTCATCAAGAGCTTTCATTTGAATACCCACATGCGTTTTGATATATTTTTCATATATACATATACATACTATATATAAATATATGAAAAATTGATGTGGGTACTCAAATGAAAGGTCTTGATGAGTGTAACATCGTGATGAGCTTATATCTTTAAAAATGTCAATATTTCATAAAATAAAAGGTCATTTCTTAATTATGTATCTAGAGATAGAGCATTTTTGAATTTAGCCTAAATACTTAAAATAAATTCACTATTGGTGCGAATGATGTGAAATCTTAAAAAGGCACAAATTCAAGTCAATACCTTTGCAATGATACCAAATTTAACCATAAAAACCCATTTTATCATATAAATTCACTAGCCACTAAATTTTTTTTATTCTCTTAATAATATGTAGATCATTTAAATATTCAGAGTATGACATACGTGGAGGGTCGTCAGGTGGTCAAAGTTTAAACAGAACAATAACCAAATCTGCAAGCTGTAAATCCGCCGACAAAATCGTCTATTCAAATACGATCTTTATCCCCTGCGTCAAATGGATCTAAGTAGGTACTTAGTTGCACATTTGGCTTAAATTTTATACGATGCCACCCGTCCAGTTATCAACATGATCATCTCTGTGCTTCTCTGCTAGATATATGTGAATATAAATATACTGAGAGGGTTTTTAGCATGGCATTTATACTTTATACTTTATATAGTATTTACGTGCATAAAAAATAAACTTTAGAGATTACTATCACTTAAATGACAGTAAAATGATCCAGTCATTTTTTTAAATGACATTTATATGGATAAAAAGTTGATTTAACTGCAAAAATGTACCATTAATTTAAATTAAAAATGAAATTTGTTGAAATAACATGAAACATTTTTTCACAAACGATTTGTGTTTATTTCAACGCAAAATTTTTCACCGAGTACCTACTGATTATATACTCTTCTATTAGTTGCTTTAATTACAGTAGATTATTTTTTCAGTGTGTTGAACACAAGTAGATGTATTTTGTAATTAATCCTCTATGTAAATAAATAAAATGTATTTAATACAAAGCAAAGCTTCGTATTTAGTAGCATTAGAACACACAAGTCATACTCACCCGATTTTTGGCATTAGTGAGAGCTTGCATTGCATTCCCTAGACAAATATCAAGGCCAAAGTTTGAGAATAAGAGGAGTCGTTGGGTGATTTAGGTTTACCGGAGCATAAGCAGACAAGGTACACTACGTGCTCTACGTGATACGCTTGGTAAATTTCCTACTGGCTTTGTTAAACTCGGATTCTGAGTGCCTTTGATACGTGTACTTGCTCGCTAACTAACCAACCTCTAAGCTATCTTAGAGTAGATACAAACCGAGTTTAATAATATTAACAGTTTCGATACAATATACTTGTATAGTCTATAGTCTTGTTATTGACTCAATATTCATACTAATCTAATCTTTATACTCGCAACCCAATATAACTAACAATTGCTTTAAAATTAATCAACAACGTTCTCTTTTGCGTTGATTATGAAGATCTGTTAATTATTTATAATATTTTATTAATTTACTGCTAATTAATCTAATTACTCCATTATTCCTTGATCTGTAAATTTCTTTGTCTTTAGTCCTATAGCAATGATGATGATAACTGCATATTTGACATTGAAATTGGCAGATACTTTTTTTTTTTTCTTGAACAATAAATAAGGTCTAGAAAATTAATTTTAAAAATTGCATTTATAATTTTTTAAAGCTTCTAAAGATAGAATATTTTTAAAAAAAATTTTTTTGCTATAATTTATTAGTTAAAAAATTTCTAAAAAGTATCAAATGTCTCTCAATTATCAATATCAATAGTACTAATGAAAATTAAGTTAGCCGAAAAAAATTTTTATAATTTTTTTTTTTATTGAAAAAATTATTATAAAAAAATTTCTTTTGTAAAAAACTTGAGAAACTGAAAGCGCAATTTATTAAAAATATTTTTTTGTTCTAATTAATTTATTGAAAAAAAATCAAGAAATTAAAAACATCGGCTAACTTTATTATTATATTTATATAATACTAAAGTTAGCGGACGTTTTTTAATTTTTTTTCATTTATTAAATTGGAACAAAAAAATTGCACTTGAAGTTTTTTACAAATGAAATTTTTTTTCTTATTTTTGTGAAAAATTTTTAAATGTCGGCTAACTTAATTTTCATTCAGTATCATGATATTAGCTTAAGGAAATCCTTTCGCTCCAGTTGAGTCAAAACAATTGTAGTAGTCAATATACGATAAATTAAAATAAAAAACCCATAAAAATTCCTAAAATTAAATAATAAATAGTATATGAGGCATTAATCGTTGAAATTTTGAAAATAAAAAAAAAAAAATAGTTAAATACAAAAATTAATTTGACTCTTTCAAATCAACTGCTAGTAACCTGTCCGTGATTTGGCAACGCTGTACTTCGATTGTTTACATTTTCATTTGCACAATATAACCTTAAACACGTTTAAGTTTTTGCAGTCAGTGTAAATAAATAAATTAGTTTGAATTTATTGAATGGTCTGAAGCTCGCGCGATACGCAACGTTGCCAAATATTTTGACTCCATATATTAATGTAGGTTACTTGAGAATTTTTTGTGATTTTTAAAAATTAATTTCTCAATAAATATCTCGGTAACTGATATATTTTATTACAAAAAAAGAAACCTGAATATTTCGAAAAATCTAATTTTTAGTTTTTTTTTACTACATCTAATCCATGACTGATAGTATAATCCGAGAAATACTGCAAACGTCTGACTTTCTCATAAGACTCTGAACAAATACTAACATTTAAAAATTTTATTTTCTCAAAAATTTGTCCGGTAAAGTATAATCTAAACCTCACTATTAGATAAATAAAGACCTTAACTATTAGAAAAAAATTGAATTTACTCATAATCTAAGATTTTTTATTTTACATTGGCGGCGAAAGGACCTCCTTAAATATGAAAATTAAAAATTAAAAAAATTCAGGTGCCTGTAGTATAGAGTATAGGTCAATGAACAATAATCCGTGGTCAAAAAATTTTTATTGCGATTTTTCAATAAGTTATTCATTAATTAATTAACAATGATTTGTAGCACGAACATTAACATTGCAAGTGCGATATTTTATTAAACTATTAATCTGAGAATATTTTCCTTTCGTGGAGCTATATTTGAAATTTCTTAAAATAGATTTCCGTTGGAATAATTGTTAATTTTCGTTTTGTTATTAACAATTTACTAAGAGGAAAAAAAATAAAGCTTTATTAAACATTGAAAAAAATTTCTAACTTCCCGCTAAGAAAATTGAAAATTTTCAAAATTCGGGAAGTTATTGTTTTTACCCCGTTTTTCGAAAATCGTGTTTTCATCAGATCACAACGTTTTGAGGTCCTAGGAACCTTCCCTGACTATTCCCGCGATGGTGTCACTATGTCTGTATGTGTGTGTGTGTGTGTGTGTGTTATGCCGACAATAAAAAAATAATCAAAATATTTTTATTAATTAAATAAAATAAAATGTTTTTTTTTTTTTAGTTCGAAGCTTATCGAATTGAAAAACTGTCAAAAAATGTCAAAGAAGCAGCGAAATGTTTCAGTGAAATGTAAGTTATTAATAATCATCAAAAATACAAACCGTTTAAATGAAAATTAAGTTAGCTGACATTTAAAAATTTTTAGAATTTTTTATTATTGAAAATATTATTAAAAAAAAGGTTTTAAAAACTACACATGCAATTTTTTAAAAATATTTTTTAGTTATAATTTAATAAAATAAAAAATTAAAAACGTTGGCTTACTTTAGTATTAAAATGTATGACACTAAAGTTAGCAGACGTCTAAAAATTTTTGATTTATTTTTATTAATTAAATTACAACTAAAAAGATATTTCTAAAAAATTGCACTTATAGTTTTTCAAGTTTTCTACATGTGAAATTTTTTTTTAAATTGTTTAATTGAAATTTTTCCAATAAAAAATTTTGAAATGTTGGCTAACTTCATTTTCATTATAATGTCTAATTATTTTAATAGTTTTCAGAATTTTTCCGAAAGCCGAGAAATTTGGACAGAAATCGAATCAATAACTGCATGTTTAAGATCTGAAAAACCAGATGCAGATTGTGAGTTATTATGTCAAATGTTCCAACATATTCCTCAAGAACTGCAGCACAGGTTGTTGATAATGACAGCTGATCACAGTGAAGATACTATGGAGCATTGTAAATTATTGTTATTGCTATTAAAAAGATTTCCGCAAACAATTCCAACCCACGGAGTAAGAAATCACCAACTTTCATTTTTAAATATCTCTTATTTTTGTCATGATATTATTTTTAAATTAACATTTGTATTTTTTGTCATGATATTATTTTTTTAGCCAAGACTGGTTGAGACATTACTGACAGCAGAAAAACACAGCCACCCAGGACAAGCAGTGAATGGATTCCGACGTCTACTAGCTTGCGATGCATTGCCACTGTTGGGAGGAGCGCCTGTTGAATTAAGCCCGCGGTTGAGTTTGCGATTGCTCTGCAAAGCAATAGAATTCTATCTGGCTTATATCCAGCAGCCGCTGGACTCGCAGATCCAACAGCCTTGGGACAGACTGTTCCAGGTGATGGAAGTGATGGGCGCAAAACTAGGCTGGGAGTTGGGCAATCTTTTCGCAACGACTTGGAACCAAGAATTGTACTGCGAAAGAATTCAGCAGTACATAAAAACTCATACTAACGTTTTAAATGACGAACCAACAATAAAACAATTGTCGATTTGTACAGTTGTTGTATTAATTAGGATTTTAAGTGGACATCATAGTAAAATTAAAAATGATGAAGTGCCTTATTGTCTCATCGAAGCTTTTGCTGAACCATTCCCTTCTTCGGGTACTTTTTCAATTTTAAAAACTAATTTATTTATTTTTTTTGTAACTAATTTATTGATTTTTTTTTCCACAGAAACAAAGATGAAAAAACGTAAGAGAGAAGAGGGACCAGGAATAGTTCTAACTAGCGATGGAGAGTACGACGGGCAAGGATTAACCTCAGCAGTAATGCTGTGGGATATTTTACACAGTACTGAGTACATGCAAAGAGAAATTACTAAACTCAGCCAACAAATGCATCTTGAAACTTGGATAAATCCTTTTCTAACAGACGTTGCTGTGTATAAGGGCTTACATCACGAATTGCTAGCAAGGTTACCGCAAGATACCAGTGGAACTCTAGCTGTACATTTACGCTTAGCTAGCACTTATTGTTGTATCAAAGATTACGGGGTACGATATTTATTTTACTTATCTATTAAGACCGTAGTAAAAATATTTTCTAAAATTTTATTTTTCTCATTACTTTTTAATAATAATTAAGAAATTACCTTGTATCTTGTGAAATATTGGCATTTTTAAAGGTATAAGCTCATCCCGATGTTACACTCATCGAGACCTTCCATTTGAGTACCCACATCAACTTTTCATATATTTTATATATTTATATATATTATATATATAAAAATATGAAAAATATATGAAAATGCATGTGGGTACTCAAATGAAAGGTTTCGATGAGTGTAACATCGGGATGAGCTTATATCTTTAAAAATGTCAATAGTTCACAAGGTACAAGGTCATTTCTTAATTACATTAAATTGCACTGTACTTTCTTAACTATTGACATTTTTAAAGGTATAAGCTCATTTCGTTGATATACTCATCAAGAGCTTTCATTTGAGTACCCACATGCATTTTAATATATTTTTCATATATTTATATATATATATAATATATATAAATATACAAAATATATGAAAAATTGATGTGGGTATTCAAATGAAAGGTATTGATGAGTGTAACATCAGGATGAGCTTATATCCTTAAAAATGTCAATATTTCACAAGATAAAAGGTAGTTTCTTAATTATTATTAAAAAGTAATGAGAATAATAATTTTTTTTCAAAATTTAGTTTTTATAACAATTAATTGATAATTTAATTCTAACAGGCTATGTTGGACTACATCGTGATGATAGCAAGCTCATTGCCTCAAGTACGAGGTAAAGTGTCTAATAAATTAACTATCCCAAGTTTAAGACACTTGCACTATTTACCGCTAGCAGAATTACCGATTCTTCAGTATTGCTCGAAATTACTGTTAGCTGGTATTAAGGTAACTTAAATTTGATGATTAAATACTTGACCTAACTTTTGATCTCGATTGTGATTATTAAATGTTATAATAATAATTGCAGCATAAACTGTCAGTAGTAGGAGACACTGGAGACTGGGCGATAGGAAACGCTTTGGTTCTCATGCAAATAGACTGGCCTCAAGAGTCTAATTTCTTGGGAATTATTACCGATCGAATACATGCTAACAAAGCTTTTCAGTATCCACTTTTCCTGGATTATATTATAAACATTGATATCCTGGAAGAGTTGACCTATTTGTGGACAGAACACGGCGGTGGGATTTCTTTGGACATTGCAATTGGGTCAGAAGTACTGCAAAATCGGAGAATTACCACTAGAGGTGCTGACAAAGGGGTTCGTGAAGAAATCAGACAAGCTATGAGAAGACAAGCGGCTCGAGACTCTGTAGATTCAATTAATGAGTTGGTACAAAGGTTTATTGTTAATGAAAAAGTTGCTCTGTTACACAGTTTAATGATGAAATAATATTTACATTATCTTACAATCAATTGTTGATTTTTATTATTTTTTCTCTTTCCCATATTTATTTTGTTAATTATTTTAATTGTAAGTTAGAAAAAAAAAAAAGAAAAATTTTAATTTTAATTTTAAAAAATTTTTTATAGATTAAACTTTTTTTTCTAAAAATTTTATATAACAATTTAATTGTTATAAAAAATTTTTAAGTGCTGACTTAAATTTTAAAAACACGCTAGGTGGTATCAGTAGTCACTGTGGTTTTATGTATTGTTATTCTCACGTGTTTACATTTTGAAAACAATGTCGCTAGTCAAAAAACCTTTAAAATATATAACTAAGTACACATCAAACGCCGAAGAAATATGGAAAGGTTTAAATGGTGTTTTTGCAATTTATAAACCATCTGGGTTTTCTACTTTTAAAGTAAGAGAAATGTTGCAAGCACATTTGTGTACAGGTTAGTTTTTTTCTCTCTTAATAAATTTTTTACCTTCAAATGAAATATATTATAAAAACATTCTAAATTTTTCAAATTAAAATTAACAGTCTTGACCATTTCTTAATTTAAAAAAAAAATCCATTTTTAATTTTTACAAATTCCTACATGACAATTTTGTTTTTTAATTTTTATTGCCAGTATTTATTTGTTGTAAAAATTATTAAACATCTGCTAAATTAATTTTTATTTCAGATTTATAACATAAAAATTAATAGCCTTGACCATTTTTTAATTTTTTGTTAATAAAAAAATTTATTTTAGAGAATTATTTTAAAAAAAAGTAAATTTTTAATTTTTTTAAATTTCTTTGTGACAATTTTTTTTTCTAATTTTTGTTTGCCACAATTTATTTGTTACAAAAATTATTAAATATCTTCTAAATAAATTTTTATTTAAGATTTATAGCATAAAAATTAGCAGTCTTGACCATTTTTTAATTTTTTTGAACCAACAAATTTTTTTTAAAAAATTATTTTTAAAAAAATAAATTTTTAATTTTTAAAAATTCTTACATGACAATTTTTTTTTTAATTTTTGCTTGCTATAATTTATTTTAAAAAAAATTTTTAAAATTATTAAATAAGTAATTTTCATTTTAGATTTAAACCAACTGGATGTCAGAGAACCGGAACCATTTGTCAGGATAGAAGGCGAGACAAACAAAAAGTTGACTATAAAAGTGGAACCTAGTTACGCTGACCACGAATTAGTGATTGGACCCAGGTATCAGCCATCAGAAATGAAGATGCATCATGTGAATTACCTGTCAAATGAAGCATCCGGAATCCAGCTTTGGGGAGTAAATAAAGGAGCTCTTATTTGTCATCTAATGAGACAAGCCAATTCAACTAGGTTTTACAAAGTAAAAGGTATTTTAGGATATGCCACTGATAATTATTTCACAACTGGTAAAATTGTTGAAAGATCTATGTTCAAGCAAGTCAAAAGGCATCACATTGATATGATTTGCGCTTCAATGCAATCATCCCATCAGAGAAAAATGTTTGAGTAAGTAATTAAATTTTTATTCTTATTTATTATTATATTTATCGTCATAATAGTTATTTATTTATAATTTAATTATTCGACAGATTATGCGGCCTAGATATTCAGTCACAAGCGGCTTATGAATTAGCTGTTCAAGGTCCAATTCGTCCAGCGGATAATAAAGTTCCGATGCTCTATAGCATGAAATGCGTTGCTTTTGATCCTCCAGATTTTACTCTAGGTAAAGAACAAATAATTTACTCAGAATAATCATCTATAATTACAAATGATTCATAAAAGATTAAGAAGATACTAAAGTTGTTTATTATTCCAAGTACGAGAACAATGAAAATAATTATTGTTGATAATTAATTCTTTTTTGTTAGTAGTTGATTCCTAACAAAAGTAGTAAAATATTTTATAATATATTTATTAATGAAAATTAAGCTAGCCGATATTTAAAAATTTTTAGAATTTTTTTTTGTTGAAGAAATTATTACAGCAAAATGAAAAAAATTTGATTTTTAAAAAACTTGAAAAACTATAAGTGTAATTTTAAAAAAATCTATATTATTAAGAGAATAAGTAAAATTTTGTGGCCAGTGTATTTATATGATAAGTATTTAGGCTGTATTCGAAAATTCTCTATCTCTAGATACATAATTAAGAAATGACCTTGTATCTCGTGAACTATTGATATTTTTAAAGATATAAGCTCATCCCGATGTTACACTCATCGAGTCCTTTCATTTGAGTACCCACATGCATTTTTGATATATTTCATATATTTATATATCATATATATGTATATATGTATGAAAAATATATCAAAATGCATGTGGGTACTCAAATGAAAGCTCTTGATGAGTGTAACATCGGGATGAGCTTATATCTTAAAAAACGTCTATAGTTAAGAAAGTACAGTTCAATTTAATATAATTAAGAAATGACCTTGTATCTTGTGAAATATTGAAATTTTTAAAGATATAAGCGAATCGTGATGTTTTACTCATCAAGACCTTTCATTTGAGTACCCACATGCATTTTCATATATTTTTCATATATGATATATATAAATATATGAAAAATTGATGTGGGTACTCAAATGAAAGGTCTTGATGAGTATAACATCGAGATGAGCTTATATCTTTAAAAATTTCAATATTTCACAAGATAAAAGGTCATTTCTAACAAAGTAGTAAAATATTCTACAATATATTTATTACATAAGTGAAAAACCCTTCTGATACTCAATATAAATTTTTTTTATTCCAGAAATAGTATGTATCAACGAAGACGACATGTTTTTAAAAACTCTCGTCCACAACTTAGGTCTAATGTCACGAACCAATGCAACTTGTAGCCAAATCCAGTGCTACCAATATGGAATATTCACAACAAATTTAGGACTACTAAAAAGAGACTGGTCAATAGAGAATATAATGAAAAACTTGATAATAATCCGCAGAATACTGAGCAAAAATAAATACTTATACTGCGAGGATAACCAAGAAGCAATTCTTCGGGAGTATTTCGAGAATAAACAAACAATTTAACTTAGATTATCTATATTTGTATTTATATAACAGAAAATAAATGTACATTGTTTTATATAACTAATTTAAGTCTCCACTATTCACTATCATCAGAAGCATCCCGACTTTTCCTTCTCCTCCTCTCGCGCCTTCTTTGGCTCCCTGAATCCTCATCGTCCGACTTCTCAGCAATTCTATCCCTAGACTTAGGCCATCTCTGCATCTTCATACTCTTAGCAATAACCCTTTTCTGATGATCCAGCTGGGGAAATAATTCCTGAGAATTTTCCAGAGCTTCCTTGGCAGCGTTCATCTCAGCCTCCTGAATACTGTGCCCTGAAGCTTTAGCCAACCTCTTTCCTTGAAAATAAACCGCGACTGTATAAACCCTAGTATTAGTCGGTCCCTTGCACTCAATAACTTTATAAACCGGAATGTCCGGCTCTCCTCCGTCCATAGTCCTCAGCGTCAAGCAACACTGCTGAAGCTTGCTCTTCGGGTCGTTCCAGTCCTGATTCATAATAAAATTCTGCAATCTCGGGAAGAAACAGACGTTGCAAAAAACATGACAAAACTCCAAGCCTTTATCAACATAAAGCGCACCAAGAAACGCTTCCAACAAATCAGCTCGATCTTTAGTCTTCAATTCCGCTTTGGGATTCCCGTACAAAGCATACTGCGTCATTCCCAAATCATCGCAGACAACAGCTTGAGTCTTATTATTAACCAACGAGCTACGAAGCAACGACAAGTGACCTTCATGATGCTCCGGGAAATATTTGTACAAATACTCCGACACAATTAATTGCAAAACAGTATCGCCCAAAAATTCAAGCCTCTGATTGGAACCAAGTGTTAAATTAGTGTACCCGATGCTCCTATCAGTAAAAGCTCTGGCTAGCAATCTTACATGCTTAAATTCAATGCCGATAGATTTTTCAAACTTTGTTAACTTTTGAAGCAATTCAAAGCTCGGAATCCACTGCCTATCTCCAGTAGGCTCCTGCTCTTGAAGCGGATGCCTCGGATAATTCACCCAAACATTTCCTAAATCTTGTTCATTTTGAAATAAGGTCTCTCCAAAAACCCTATCAGCTACATGAATTCCCCCATCAAGGAACAGCGACCCCATAAGTGCCTCAAAGCAATTAGCCATTGCGTGTCTCAGTTCCAAATCATGACAAAGGTCGCTCCCGTGAGCGTAAAGCATGTACTGCTCTAAGTTCAATTTCTTTGCTAGCACAGCCAAGTGCTGATTCTGAACAATAGCAGCTCGATAAGTAGCCAAGCCTCCTTCTTCAAGATCAGGGAACATGTGGAATAAGTGTATGGAGGTAAGAAACTCCACAACAGCGTCTCCGAGGAACTCAAGTCTTTCATTGTGCGCAATTGAAGACTCAGTTTCTCTCCTAGCGCCGAATCTCGACATGATATTTATCAAAGTGTTTATCCCACGCTTCCTGGTGTTCATATAATGAATCCTCCGGTCGCCGTACTCGGGCTGGCTAATTCCGCAATTAGTTAGCGAGTTACGCGCATGATCGGGATTAGTTCCAAAATTTTCTCGGTAGCTGGGATGCGTAAGAGCGAGTTGTAATAAATAGCGGTTCTTAAATTTGTACTTTAGAGTTTCCTCAAGGTTGTCCAGAGATTTATGGAACCTTAAATGACACACCAGCACGGGGATGAGCATCGCGTGCTGAACCATGTCGCACATTATCCCAGTTCTGAAGAATCCTTCGGAACTTACATCAACAGTAACGTCCCGCTTCATTTTGCTCTGAGTCCGCAGCTCCTGTAGCCGATTTTCTTTCGCTTCTAACTTTCTCTTGTCCTCGAAAGAAGGCTTGGGCATATTGGCCAGCAAATGTCGGAATTTAACGTAGTCTCGCCAGGCTTTTTGGTAATCTGCGTTCCCGGCGTAGCTTAATTGAGGCGGCCGGATTCCGAAGTGAACTATTTCTGGATAAGCTGTGATTCCAGGAGGCTGGTCTCCTTGAGTTCTATCTAATTGATCCACTCTAACACTGCAAGGCTTCTTTCCGGGATAAGTCACCACCATTCCTTTTACCAAGTCTGCATAATTTTGCCACTCGTACTGGGGCATCGCTATAAGACGATCTAATTCTTCGGCTTCGATCAAAGAAGTGCTGCTTTTTATTAAATAATTCAGAACTTCGTTCATCGATAGTATCTCTTGGCCTTTATCAGGAAGATCTCTTACAAACCTAGGCATGAAATGGAACTGACCACACCCGGTATAATTTTGCGCGGAATGTAAATTGAAATCTACGAGCTCTAAAATTTCTTTGAAAAGATACTCTTGGAAGTAATTTAATTCATTTATTGTAAAATTCTCCGGGAGTTTTTCTTCAATGTACAAAATTGTATACTCGATATTAAATCTTATCACCTTGCAGGTAGGTAGCTTTACAAGCGGGAAGTGGGAGAGCATTGAAAATCCTTCGAAAATAAACTCGTGTTCATCGTGTTCGATAATAGTTGGGGTTTTGGTTAGAAAATTTGTAGGGGGGCTTATTGTAATTCGGTAGTGATACAATTTATCAGCGTTATTACTGTCCAAGTCACAATTATAAACAGACCCTTCACCGGCGTAAATTCCGTGACGAATTCCCGAGCGGCGAGATTTAGCGCTGCATCTACACAGCGGACCGTCGTTCATCTCTCCCGGGTCGTTGAACCACATCTCTGGATGCAGACGCTGAGGATGTTGTTTTTTGGCCATCAATTCCTCCATAGTACGATCATCATCATCAATTGAGCTATCACTGTCGCTGTCCGAGGAACTGCAAGCCTCAGACTTGTGCCTGCACAACTTTGCTTTGGTTCTTCGAGGCGGTGGCTCGTAAGGCGAGTACTTAGCTCTGGCCACATTAGCCCTGTCTAAAAGCGAGCGTTTAAAATTGTCGGTAAGTTCTTTGAGCTTGGGGGTAGCTCTCATGACCTTTGGGTTGTTTTCATCCCTTGTGTAATAAAGATCAGCTGGAGCTGCGCGGGTCCAAACTTTTTTGTCACACTCGAGAATCCCTTCGGGACCCAGCTCATCAATTTTTCTCTCGATGTCGTAACTAGTCGCGCAATAATTGCGCCGATATTTTTCTAGGAGCATTTCGCGCTCAGTTTTCTTTTTTCTAAGTGCTTTGGAAGAATGAGAAGCACTTCGGGGAGACTCAGGAGTCCTGGACCTTCTTCTGCTGGACCTGGAGCTTGAATAATCATCCTTGCTCCTGCTTCGGCTGTGACTGTCGTCTCTCCGCGATTTTCTTTCAGTTTCTTCGCTGGAGTATTTTTCTTTACCATCACGATCGTTGTAGCGATCGCGGTGCTCCTTACTGGTAGATCTACTAACGTAATTCGGAGACCTAGAGGAAGTCCAACTAGATTTTCTTTCTGATATTTGCGGGTCAGTCTTTCTCTCTTTGTGGTAGTTTTTTTTTAAAGGCTCAGAGTTACTCCAGCGGTCTTTTTTAAGCGCGCTTGACCAAGTGTCGGCGGGTGAGTTACTACAATTGTTGGTACTGTTACTGGGAATGGATTGCCAACGATCTGTTGAGTCATATGACTTCCATTGAGGATTGGTACTCGCTTCGGCAGTGTAGTAGCCTTGGCTTATGTCAGGGTAGTTTTGGTATGGATAAGCGTAGTTGTTTGGGTATCCGGAGTAATAAGGATTGCTGGCGTATTGGTTGGAGTAATTGGTGTTGTTTATTATTGGAGGTGGGGTACTCATTACTGGAGGCGGGGTACTTAGTACTGAAGCTGGAAGATTTATAATTGGTGGTTTTACTATTGGAGGTGGTGGTACGTTGAATGACGGTGGAGGGTACATGAAGTTTGGTGGAGGTAATGGTACTGGCGGTGGTACTGAGTAATAATTCACTTCTGGTTGGACCCATGTTGATTCTGTTGTTGCTGGGTTCATTTTTGGTATTTACAATCTGAAATTTAGAATTTTTTATTATTTTTATTTATTAGAATAAACGCCAATCGGCAATGTACATAAATTATTTAGTATTTAAGATTATTATAAAAATGATTTAATAGCCAGTAAATATGTAATAATAAATTATTTAAATTATTAGGATTATGTATGTGCTAGTTGGTTAATACTAATTGCTTGACTTTGGAGGTGAATCTTGAGACTGAGTTCATGAAGAAATTATGAAAATTTAAGTAGCAGGTATTTAATAATTTTTAGAAATTTTTTAACTAATAAATTAGTGCAAAAAAAATTATAAGAAAAAACTGACATGCAGAAATTAAAAAATGCAATTTTTTAAAGATACATTTTAGAAAAAATTTGTTAAATAAAATTAAAAATGGTCAAGTGACAGCTCTTTAATGTCATTTTTTAATTATCGATTAAATTTAGCACAGAACTTTTTTTTATTAATAAATTCTTAATAATTATTTTTTATGATGCAAAAATCAGCTCATGGTTATTTACGATGAAAATTAATTTAGCAGGTATTTAATCATTTTACTAATAAATAAATTACTGCATAAAAAAATGAACATTTAGAAATTTTAATAAAATACAAATGCAATTTTTTTAAACAAATTTTTTTATCAAATAAAATTAAAGAAAGTGACAGCTAACTTTAATATCACTATTTATGATTTTTTAATAAATAAATTCGTACTGAAAAATTTATACTAATAAATTCAAATTATTGAGATGTCAATATACAAGACTAAAAATTATTTTTACTTCTTAAGATTTATTTATAAAAAATTTTAATAATATATTGACACATTAAACAATAATTTTAATTCTAGCTCTAACAAAAAAATAATTATTTTATTTAAGAATAGCCACTCCTTATAATTGTCAGTTTAAAAAATTAAAAGAATTTTAAAACACTAGCCAATTTTTTTTACTTAAATTTTAATTATTAGTTTTTTTTTTTACTATAAAATAATAATTAAAAATTATTTAAACTTACGCGTGATGAAAATTTATAACTTAAATAAATAAATAAATAAGTTAGGTTACTGAAAAAGATGTAAATAATACAACAGGTTAGGTCACATATTCGAACTAAAAATGATTGTTGTATCCATTTGCGCGTGCGCAATTATTAAACGTGAAATTGTGTGCAAGTGAGAGTGTCATGTGTTTTTCAGTTTTTATAAGGATCAAGTAACGAATAATAATAATAATAATAATATTTATTGTTACTATTATTATTATGGCAGCGGTATAATCGATTTGTTGATATCGAATTCCAGCTGTTGGTGTTGATAACTTCAGTTTGTTCTATGACAGCATGGGCGTTCCTGTTCTTTGTTCTATTTCATTATCAGTGCCAGTCTAAGCAACAGTGATGTGTCAAGTATTTTTTTAACATTAACTAAACAGCCAAAGATTTTATATATAAATATATTGCTACTTTATAAAACAAAAATAAATTATAAAATAAAAAAAAAAGTTCAAACAAAATGACGGGATAAAATAGTATTTTTTAAGAATGTTAAATGACAGCTGACCGCCAATTTATATTTTGTTACTATTATTTAAATCAATAGCAAAAAGTGAAAATAAAATTTTTATATTAATATTTATTGAGGTGAATAAAAATTAAAAATGTATGAGTGTATTACCTATATCTGATTAAATGATAATTATAAATACATAGATTTGTTTTATGTACCAAACAAAGAGAGATACTTATTTTTTTATGATTCTTACATGCAACAACAAGTCATATGACCTTCGGATATTCACTAACTTCTGAAGCTGAGTGATTGTGTACAAATAATGAAACATAGAAGGAAGTCCAGCTAATTAATAATAATCAAAACTTAACAAAGTAACAAGTAATTATTTTATTTTAATTATTATATTTGTGACACTGAAATTAATAGACATCTGATAATTTTTTTGATAAATAAATTATAGAAAAAAAATTTTATTTTAAAAAATTCAATCATTAGAAGCTCTGAAAAATTATAAATGCAATTTTTTTTTTTTTTTTTTTAATAATTTAGCATATATTAAATAATTAAAAAAATTTTATAACAAATAAATTATGGCAAAAAAAACAATGTAAAAAAATTTTACATGTAAAAATTTTAAAAAATTAAAAATGCAATTTTTTTTAAATAATTTTTTGGAGCAAATTTTTTTGTTAAAAAAAATTGAAAAATTCTCTAGTGACTGCTAACTTTAATGTCATAACTTTTTTTATTTTTTTGTAATAATTTTATCAATAAAAAAAAATTCTAAAACTTTTTAAAAGTCAACTAACTTGATTTCCATATAAATTATGGCAAAAAAATTAAAAATTCAATTTTTTAAAGATAATATTTTTGTTAAATAAATAAAAAAATTGTCAAGTGTCTGCTGATTTGTGTCATATTATATTTAAATATTTTAAAATAAAAATAAAATTCAAATTATTTTAACAGATGATAATTTGATGAAGACGACTAAGTTGAATTATGTCTGGAAGCAATTCATTGACAGCAACTTCACCGCGAAGTGCAACAGCACCAAATAGAAATTCGCAAAAATCAACCCTGCTGAAGGTAGTGATCCTAGGAGACGGTGGAGTCGGAAAATCATGCTTGATGAACAGATTCGTGTCGAATCATTTTGACGAACACAGCTTCCATACAATTGGAGTGGAATTTCTCAATAAGGACATTGAGATAAACGGCGAAGCTTATACTTTGCAAATATGGGACACAGCTGGCCAAGAAAGATTCAAAACACTGAGAACACCATTTTACAGAGGCTCTGATATTTGTTTATTAACTTACGCTATTGACGACCGGACTAGCTTTAGAAATTTAGCATTATGGAGATCGGAGTTTTTGTACTATGCAGATGTGCAAGAAGGCTCTTTGTTCCCGTTTATTGTCGTGGGTAACAAAGTAAGTTTTTATTTTATTATTTTTAATAATGTACTCTGAATTAAATATTAATTTAATATTAATTTAGGTTGACGTAGCAGAGTCTGAAAAACAAATAACAACCGAAGAAGCACGTGCTTGGTGTGCAGAAAACGGTAACCCACCTTTAGTAGAAACGTCTGCTAAAAATGCAACTAATGTTGAAGCAGCTTTTGGTGCAGCTGTCGCAGCTTGGGCTAAACTAGAAGCTAGACTCGAACGTCCAATTGTAGAGGATACTATTGATCTCTCAAAGCAGCACTCGCCTCAACGTACTAGCTGCTGTATGCCATTGTCTAGTGCCGAGTAGGTGTCTCAAGATAAAATATCACACTTTATTCGTTTTTTAATTGATTAATTAATTAATAAAGTAATAATGCATGTGCAAAACTATTATTTACACTCATAACTTGTAACTAAATTGGCAAGCCAACAGTTAAACTATTAATTAATTAAACATTTTTTGTGATTTAAACCAAAGTTTTTATTTTGGTTAATTGTGTTAGTTTTTTTGTTTAGTGTAGAAATTCTAGGTACAGTTTTTTATTTATATTCACAAACTTTCGTTATTTTACCGGGACTTTTGTTTTAGGTGTAACAAAATAATTTGAAGAAAGTACATGCATGCTCTACTGTAAAAATGCTCATGGTATTGAAAAATAATTACAACAGATTTAATGTAATAAATATAAATAGTATAAGAGTAATCTCACGTACTGTGTGATCAAGGCATCAATGAAAACAAAACTCTTATGTATTAACTATTAATGCTAGGGTAAAAGACCTCATTAGTGGCGGGGATTTCATTATTGACACTTTTTTTGATTTTGGTACTAATTCAATTAATTAAATCATTAATATATGTTAAGAGAATAAAAAAAAATTTGTGGCCAGTGTATTTATATGATAAAATGGGTTTTTATGATTAAATTTGGTATCGGAAAAGTTTTGATAAGTTAAGTTGCATTTGAAAATGCTTTATTTCGAGATACATAATTAAAAAATGACCTTGTATCTTGTAAACTATTGACATTTTTAACGATATAAGCTCATCCCGATGTCACACTCATCGAGACCTTTCATTTGAGTACCCACATCAATTTTTCATATATTTTATATATTTATATATATTATATTTAGAAAAATATATCAAAAATACATGTGGGTACTCAAATGAAAGCTCTTGATGAATGTATGATGAGTGTAACATCGGGATGAGCTTATATCTTTAAAAACTTCAATAATTAAAAAAGTACAGTGCAATTTAACAAAAGTCATTATTTAATAAAGCGAAACTTTATTCTATATTATTTCTAATCAAAAATTTTTTTATTTTTATTTCAAGTAGAACATTTTTTAGAGGTGCCACTAATGGGGTCTTTTACCTTAATTGTTTTTATGATTTATTTACAGTATTAGATTTTTAAAAGTTCACATATGATCGGCTTGTGACACTCAAGTATAGCTTCACTAATTATTTAACTCATTAACCTTTTTGTATTACTAAATATTATTATAAATTTGTACATATTTTTAATAATTTTCCACCTCCTTCGGGTAAAAGTGTATTAATTTTGTTTTTTATAAAAAAACTTCTGCCCCAATTGACGTAACAAGTGTAATAGGTGCTTTATCATACACATTAAAAAGTAATAATTGATATAAAGTAAGTGACAGTAACAGTGATTTATAATTCTGGCTGTTTGTAATGCGCAAATAAAATCATATCATATATATGTAAATCGGTAGTTAAATTCATCACATATTTTTCGGATAAAATCTATTAAATGTTGCGTGTCATGTTTTTTATAAATAAAATATATTGTATTTAATGATAATGATTACGCAAAATATATTTATCTGCCGCCATACGTTTTTTAAATGAAAAAAAATAAGATAATATTTACTGACTGCGCCTTAATGAAAATTTTTGTATTGTAAGAAAAATTAAGATAAATAAAATAACTATGCTTGTTTAAAATTAATTTCTTCTGTTTAATTGATTTTTTTTACACTTTATAAAGCTAATTAAATTAGGTAAAAAATTTTATTTATAAATATTTATTATTTTAAAAAATTATATTCAACGAAACCAATAATTTTCTACATACAATTAATAATATACTATGTTGCAATATTTCAACAATATTTACAAGTACAATAGCAACTTTTTTTTGTAAGATTCTATCCCTCACAATAATATTTGATACTTTGTTTATTTTCAATAGATAAACGAATAAATTAATAAATTTATTTAAGTAAGCAGTAAAACTGCAAACCGATATACTAAAAATACTGATAAAAAAGGTTTAATCATTTTCCTCTTTGTACGACATCATTTTCAAAAATATATTTTTATGAAATTCCACATTAGCTAATTAGGCACAATATAACGTACAATAAATACGTTGTCTTTTTTTGTTTATCGTATAAATTGAAAAAATGGTGATAATTTTGTCTTGGATATATTTTTCTGGTCAATTTTACTTGTATCGATCGTATTAATATCATCAACCTCGCGACCAGTCCGATAAAATACGTATCATAAATAAAATAAAAAACAAAAAAAAATATAGACAAATCAATTGATGTGCGCGGATACAATTATTATGTTAATGACACAGTATTTCATATTGTTAATGACAGTGTTCCGTAACGTCTACTATTACAGATTTTTTCCAGCCGAATAAAAAGTATCCGATTGCCGCACCGAATACTACTGCGATGCAAAGCCACACGTTGTACGTCATAAATATCAGCATGAGAAAGTACGACAAAATTATTTGTATGATGTGTAAAAATGTTTGGAAAGTGTGCATCCATGACAGCATTGTCGGCCTGAAACAAAAATTTATAATTATGTTTATAAAATTATTAATATTTATTTTCTACAAAAAAATCATTGCATAAATATTCTTCTAAGAAATTTTCTTATATACATAAAAAATAAAACAACAGATTATTTTTAGACAATAATATTTTTACAAAAGTTTATAGTAGTCATGCGTATAAAACAATACAATTAAAAAGATAAAAATCATGCTTTGATTGTAAAAAAAGTTAAAGATAAAATTGATGCTTGAATAGCTTGAATAAAACAGTCAATAATAAAAAAAAAAGTGAAAGGTACGTCATGCAGGCAGAGTAGCTGTAAACAAAAACAAGTAAATTATTTCTACTCACGGTTGTCTGTGAATAACTTCTCCAACCATACTACAACGTTAAATATAATATGAAAATTACAGTAATGATAGAATTTTATCATATCAGTTATTATGTTTAGTAATAAATTAGTAACATTATTTAAGTTAAGAATTTTAAAACTTACTGTACAACGCGACCGTCTTCTGCAGTTACGTTTTTTTCCTGTGGCGACGTAACGCTTCTGTATTGCAGCGTATTGTATGTTTTCCAAAACAAATATTCTCTGTAGTACTTTAGTCCTTCGTAAAGTGCGGCCATTATAATAATACCTATCATCGAGCCAATTAAGCCTCCAAGCGTTGAAATTTTCCAACACTCGAAGAGAATTGTTTCATCATATCCGAAGTGGAAAGCCATCTAAAATATTATATTAACTCTTAATTATATAACATAGAATCACATTTTAATATAGAACCACATTCATACGGACAAAACAGAATAAAAAAATTTTTTAAAGTTATGAAAAATTTATATTATTTCATTAAAATTATTATAAAATAAAAACTATAATAATAATAATTGCATCACACCCAAAATTTTCCTAAAAAACAAGCACTCCAGAATGATCAATCGATTTTTTTTTAACAAAAAATATTATTATTATTATTATATTTTTATTTTTTTATAAAGACAGGTTTATAATATTTTTATAGATATTTTCCTGACGTAAGTAATTGAAAATAAATTAATTATGCCTGGAGGAGAATACAGGCTAAAAATATTATGAAAAATTAGAGAATTAATTGTTGTATTAGACTGGATAGCCAATAAACTGAAAATTTCAATGACTTACGACAGGAAAATATCTATATATGAATAATATTTATTCATTTAGCCATCACTATTCTTTTGTATAATAATTATATAAATTTTTAAATATAATAACAATATTTATAATATAACATTTACGACAAGTTCACATCTTCAGTACATATTTTAATGAAATAATATGAATTATTCATAACTAAAAAATTTTTTCCGGGTCTATTTTCTGCCGTCAATTTTTTTCGGCATTCATGACTTGTATTATGTAATTTTAATTAAAACATTGATCATCATTATGACTTCCATTGTCAACAGTAATTAATTAGCGAATCATTATCATTTTTACCATCATTCCAGGCATATCGTGCATGCCATGCATGCTATGGTGAGACATCGAGTCTGGATCACTGGCAACAACTTGAGCCATATGGTCCATTTCTGAATGACCTCCGTGATTCATGGAACCGTGGTCCATGCTATGATCAGCCGATCCGTGATTCATATGATCATGTAAATGACCCGAAGCATTTAGATGCTCCATAATATGATCGTGCGACATATCTGAAAAAATTAATTAAATTTTATATATACAATTTGACAGAATATTAAAGACGTAATTTAAATACATTTAAAAACAATCTTATCAACTTTTTATGAAAATGCTTTTTTTTTTATCTATTTAAAACTGCGGATAATATTAAAAAAAAAAAAAATACTTATGAAGTAAAAAAATACGTAAATAAAATGTACTATCTATTAAAGTATTATATTATTTTTACCTCAAGATGGCTTTAAAGTTTATCAACAAGGAGAATCGCTACCACAATTTATCAAATAAAAACCACAACTGTCAGATATAAATTAATGATACTATACGTTTAAATTTAAAATGATTATTTGGGTTATTGCTCAATTATAATAAAAATATATATTAATATTTTATGAAAAGAATTTAATAGGACTTTTTGAATGGCATTCCTCTATAATCAATACATACTTCAGGAGTTTTATCATCATCAAAATTTATCTATTTATTGCGTCACCAAATCAATGACACAGATTAAAATAAAGTTGATTTTTTTCACATGGTCGATCTTATTGATATCAATTGAATCATTAAGACCCATGTTACAATTAATAATTTCATCATGAGTTGGAGAAATGGAGAATGTCCATACAGTTACTTATCCTCCTTCACCAGTTGAGCTAATGTAAAGCTAAAGCTAAAGATATATTACATGTAATGAATGTAAGAGAAATATATGTGAGTTCAAGGATCTGATTTTATCCTTACCAGTTTTTAACGAATTCAAGTAGAAAGTACATACGTAGAATATTGTAAACACGTATTGGCAACCAATAAGGAAAAAATATACAATCTTGGTATAATTATTCCGCGAATTTAATTTACTGATTATTGAAAAAATTATGTTGTGTTTATAAGTAATTACTTAGTTTATTATTTCCTTAATTTAATACAATATCTAGTATTAAATTGCTAGATATCTTATTGATAAGAAATTATGAGATATCGATGTGTGTAAACACGTAGTTAGCCTACGTAACAATAATAATAATAATAAAATCCGTGAATTTAAGTTAAAAAAAAATTAATAATTAAATTTAAATAATGAATAATTTAAGAATGAAAATTAAATTTGTTAATTTTATTTAACAAAAAGATTTTTTCCAAAAAATTATTTTTAAAAAATTGCATTTTTTTTTTATTTAAATTTTTAAATGTTAATTTTTTTTTTGGCAACAATTTATTTGTTATAAAATTTTTTAAATTATTATATATGGGCTATATTAATTTTCATTAATTTAGCAGATGTTTAATAATTTTTCTAATAAATAAATTACCGGATAAAAAATCAAGAAAAAAAAAATTGACATTTAGAAAATTTAATAAATTAAAAAAAAAAAATTTTTTTGGAGCAAATTTTTTTATTAAATAAAATTAAAATATGATTAAATGACAGCTAATTTTAATATCATATTTAAGATTGAGAGGTCATTAGTACGAATGTCAATGATAATAAAATTTAATAATAAACTTACTTTAAGTATTTAGTAATGCAGGTTATATCACAATGTATTTTTAAAAATAATATATACCAGAAACAGTTGTCACGATAGTCCAATAAGAGAATGTCTGCAAAAAATCTCCGGTACTGTTACTTTTTACAAAGTAATGTTAGTGTCTTGAGAAGTGACTGGAGAATGGATTGCTTTTTTTAAAAATAAAAACTAGCACAACTTTCTACTCCAGTTTTAAATTTAAGTAATTATATTGTATTGTTAAATTATATTGTAACATGAGCACCGTTTAAGAGACTGCGGAGTAATAAAATAACTGGTGAATATATTGCTGGTGAATGGTGATGGTGCTCCTGCTCCTGCTGACTAGCTTCTATGCAAGAAGAGGTGGTAGATGGTAGAAAATCAAGACTCGGAGTTGGAAGTTGGAGCCAGCTATTAATCTTGGTGGTGGTGATAATGTTTATATACTGTTGGTGTGCTGAGAAATTTTAACTGTCAGTGTGTTGGTCTGGTCACATGCCGCATGCAGCGGAGATAACGACATCAATCGATCAACATTATTTGCAAATATTTTCTATAGATTTGTTGTCTTGATGCAAGATGGCGCGCGAAAGTTTTAAATTTACTGATTTTTTATCTACAGTCGGCAAGTTTTCTTCAGAAGAAATCTAGGCTTGTCATTGGTGGAAAATTAGGATTTTGAATTTAGGCGCGCATGCGCAGAAAATTATTTTGGTAGTGTTGTGATTGGTGATGGACGCCATTTTTTTTTCTGGAAGATTCATAACAAACTCATCAGCTTACTTGTCAATTGTCATTCTTATGAATTTTAGTGTTAAAAAATTGAAAAATTGTTTATAATTAATTTAAATAATGTCTTTTATGCCACAATGGCCGAATCTTCGGCCGAGAGCTACTGATCCGCTGTGGTTCAATGTTGACAAACCTATTGATGATGAAGAGGAGGTAGAAAAACTTGAAACCATGAACCAAGCATGGGTATGTGTGTTTTTGTTATTATTATATGGAATTAAAATTAAATTAGCTGATATTTAAAAATTTTTATAATTAATTTTATTAAAAAATAACTTTTTTAAAAATTAATGACAAAGTTAGCTGTCGCTTGAGCATTTTTTAATAAATAAATTTGCTCCAAAAAATTGTTTCTAAAAAATTGCATTTTTTAATTTTCTAAATGTCAATTTTTTTTCTCAATTTCTTCGACATAATTTATTTGTAAAAAAATTCTTAAAATTATAAAATTTCTGCTAAATTAATTTTCATTAAAAAATAAAACAAAAAAATTCATTTGTAAAAAATTTAAAAAACTTTAAGTAGAATTAAAAAAAATATTTTTTAGCTCCAATTTTTAATTTATTATTGTTATTGATAATCTATTTAATTTTTAATTTAAAACCTAATTATATAGACTGTTATTAATTGCTGTAAGCTGAGCTTTGGAAGCAAAATAAATAATTAAATAAAATAAATTTTTAATTAATAAGAAAAATAAAAAATTGTTGAGTATCGACTAACTTAGCCATTTAAAAATTTTTATAATTTTTTTTATTGAAAAAATGATTACAAAATAATAAAAAAAAATTGATTTTGTAAAAAATAAAAAAAAATTAAGTGCAATTTTAAAGAAATATTTTTTAGTTCTAATTTAATAATTAAAAATTAAAAAATAAAAAATGACTAACTTTATTATTATTATTATTATTATTATTATTAATATTTAAATTAATTAACATTGAATTATTTTTAATAATTAAATTAATAAAGAAAACTTTAAGTCATTTTTTTATTCTATTAAAATTAAAATGTCATTAAATATTTATTTTTAATTATTTACAGAAAGATCGTGTCAAAGCTCTGTACAGTGATCAAATTCCAATTGGAAAATCAGCCAGTGATGTAAGTAAATTTTTTAAATAATTTTAAAAATATTTTCTAAATATTTATTTGAAATATTTATTTTGAAATTAGTTCCGTGGCTTAGAGGAAGAAGACGATGAAGAAGAGGAAGAAGAAGGCGAAGGTGAAGAAGAAGAAGAGTCGGACACCCATGAAGAAGAGGAAGAAGAGTTTGATGAGATTGACATGGAAGTCAGCTACACTCATCAACAGCAAAGATCTAGCCCGACTGACACCCCTACTGATCCAGTTTCCATAAGAATGGTGACTACTTCTCGCTACTCATAAGAATAAAACCATTTCCTATTTACTAACTTAATTTATTTATTTAATAATTATTAAAAAAACAAAGTTTATAAAATTAACCAATCGTCGTAAATAATAATGCTAATTTCTAGATAATAAAACTTGTGATAATTTTACAGATGTGAATCCAGATGTAGTTAAGTAACTCCTGATCCTGAATATTCTTCTCATTTATCCTACTGATCCATTGGTAAGCAATTTCCTAGAAAAAAATATTTTTTAAACAAAAAATAAATAATTACATTAAATAATAAGAATTGGAATATATTTTTAATTTGTCGTTGTGGTTTATTATTAATTATTTAAAATAATATATAATTAAATAGATTTATTACCGAGTGAAACGATTAAAAGGGTATAATATTTAGCCGTAAAAAAAAGGCTGTCTTAAATGTGTTGTGTATGCAAAAATGAAGGTGCGTATTTAGAATTTATTTTATTACAGTGCTCTGCTCGTTAAATTAAAGACAATAATTAAATTGTCATAAAGCTTGGATGATTTGAATTTAAAAAAGCTTAAATAATGAATTTTTTTTTAACATCCGATTACTAAATTGCTAAATAACTAGTTGCATACGAGCATTATTATCAAGTTAACTGGGCAACTAGTCTCTACTCCGGGAATTTACATGAGCATACAAGTATACTAATATAAAGGCAAAAAAAAGCCATGGAGGCATTCAGGCTGAGTATAGGTAAAGCAAAAGCTGAAGCTGAAGGTAAAGTGTAAGCAAGGGCTACTTATTATTATGTATTATGTTAGAATAGAAGAGAGTTAGAAAAGAGTGTATGGTATGGTATGGTTTGGTATGGTATCTTCCTCACTGGATTTTCACCTATACACTAGGTGTGTGAAAGTGTAGTACCTATAGAGCGCGTCGAGTCTTTCAGCGAGTAACTGAAGTAAAGCCAGGTTGGTGCCCCCGGTAGGGTGAACGAACGGCAACGCTCAGGCAAAAGCGATCCCAAGCAAAGCACCTCCGCCTCTTCTCTTCTCTTCTATATACTCTATACATTCACACAACTCTGTCCTCCGCGAAAGGCCTTCGCCTCTGACGTCACGGTATTTAAATCAGCGAAAAAAAAAAACACGCGAAAAGTTAATTAATAAAAGATAAACATTAATACTAAATTATATACTTATTTATTAATTTATATATCAAAATAAAAAATAATAATACCTGTTTAAAAACCCAAATAAATTTCTCTACTTAATTTCGCGGGCAAATATAATAACTGGTTTTGTTCCTCGAAAATAATTAAAGCAATTAATGAATTTAAATGTTTTTAACAATTTAGATCGAGATGAAATTTCTTTCTTTGATCTTCGGGTTTTAATATGAATGTTTGAATGTATGTATTTTTTTTTATTTATGTTTGTATGTGTGTATTAATAAAACCCCTTTCACTCTAAAACCTGTGTGAGGTCTAAAGTAATTACGAAACTCGGTCCGAAAGTTAATCTTAATATCCAGAGTAGAATCCTAACCTGCCTCAAAAAAAAATAAATATTAAATGTTACAGCATAGAAGATAATAAACCGCGGGGTTACTGGTGTCTGGTGAAGAAGTTAAGAACCGGGGTACAGATG